TCATAAGCCTAAATAAAAACATTATAATTTTTTGAGAGAAAATTTACCACTTATATATAAAATAAATAATGAAATTATACCGAGAATTATGACGGTATTTCTTATTATTTTCTTATAAGTTTTTACCGTTAAAAAAAATTGTACGCATAACAATTCTACGCTTTATGCAGATTTATTAATTTTACAAATACAAATCAAGATTAATTTAAAATGTAACAAATAAAATGGAATTTTATATATAAGTGATATTAATACAAAAATTGAAGACAATATTTAAATCTGCATTTTTTCTATTATCTTTTTATTATGTGCATTCAATATTTTTGGAGGAGAAATATGTGATAAATCTTATTATCGTTAAAAAAATTATGTTACATAATTTTGTTAAAAGAATATGTTAGAGTAGATACCTAAGAGATGAGATTTTTTAAATTTACCGAGCGATGGTATTCTGTAAGATTACCATGAGATTTTTTAGGCTGGTTTATATTAATCGGTTTTTTGTACAGTCTTTAATGTGTATGGAACCAAAAGCCGATATTTATGCGATGAGATTCTGTAAAATTACCTTGAGATTTTTTAGGCGGGTATACGTTAATGAGCTTTTTTTGTACGATCTGTAATGGTGTATGGAACAAAAGCCAATATTTTAGGCTTTTCAATTAATGATAGAAACTTATAAATATGATGAAGATATTATAAATATGATGAAGAGAATATATGACGACAAAAAAAAAAAAAAAACTTACAGCTTGCGTAGGACATTATGGAATAGAAGAATGGAATATATAGATTGCAGCATGAATAAAATATATTGTTTGATTTGGATGAGTTTTAAAGACTTTGAAGAAAGGAAAACTCTTATTTAGTTTGACTAAAGATCTCTTCTCAATTCACACGTGATTTGTTGTAAATATGGTATAAATAATATGTATTTAACTTATTTTAAAAAAAATTTAATCATCTTTTAATAAAAAATTATATATTTTTAAATAAAAAATTGAAAAAATTATGTATAACCGGTTGGAAGATTTTTTTTTAAATCTATCGTGATTTCACATTGTTTGAAAGATTCAACTTACTTAAAATCATAGTTGACGGTATTATTTTTCAGGTTTTTTGTAAGATAGAAATGTTGCATTAGAATGTACCCGGTTGAACGATATTGTTGCATTTTGAACAGTAAGTCAATAAGAATTCCTATTTTAAACTCTTTGGCATAAATTTCGCAACAACAATTAAAGAGCTATAATTAAGGAAACCAAGTTGCAACCAATTTTGAAGCTATAATTACGGAACCAACAATTAAAGAGCCCTTTTTTTGGCTTATTCAAAAATACCCAAAAATTACTATATAAAGGATATAATTAATGATTTGGCGGGAAAAACTTGCTAAATTTATAAAATGGTAAATCTTTTTATATAGATATATAGATAAGCTTGGTTTGATAGGGAATTTTTTTTAAAAAAGCTTGAAGTTATCTCATAAGTTTTTTGGGTAGCTTAGAAATTTTTATTCAGCTAGCTTATTAGCTAATTTTACCAAATGCTTTATCATATAAGCTAGATTTTCAGCTATAAGTCATAAGTTATAAGTTACAAGCTCGAAAAATACTGATAAGTATAAGCTAGCTTATTAGCTAGTTTTACCAAACACAACCTAACTCATTAGACTCATAAATAACTTGATAAACATTATTAGACACATAAATAACTTGAAAAACATTTTTTTGTGTATCCTTCTTATATTTTACGCGAAGAATTGTGATTCACAAAACAATAAGTTTAGTATTAATTCATTTTTTGTATGGATCATGGACATTAGAAAAGTTAAAACTCATTCATTGGATACATTACCAAAGTTGTTTTTATCTTCAATCTCTCCTCTTCCTCCTTTATAGATCTATAAAATGGTAAAGTTCGATTTAATCTTGATAACACACGAGCTCTTCCTCGATCTATAAATTTGAAAAGCTTGAGTTAGTTTCGATAATAATTGAGCTCAAGTTTGAATCTTTACATGTCAAGCCGAAGTGATATATAATAAAAAATTTAAGAACTTATGCAAAA